TTCGTCAACTTAGTCAACATCATAGCTATATATTTTAATGCAGGCGCGGAGCTAGGATCTTATTTTAGGGAGGGGCGGTAGTGAACAGGCGAATCACTCAAAGAGCGCTCATTAGGGGGATGTGGGTGATAGGCCTACCGCGCGAAGCGTGGAAGCTTAGACGTTTCCTTAAATTATTAGGAAAAGAAGACGATTTATTGTACCGTTCTCGACTGTTAACCCTTGTCTGAATGAATCCCCCCCCCCCTCCCGCGCGAAGCGCGAAAGCTTTGGCGTTTCATTAAATTATTATAAAAAGAAGACGATTTGTTGTACCGTTCTCGACTGTTAATCCTTGTCTGAATTCAGTTCCCCCCCGGCCCCCCCCCCCTTCCCGCGCGGAAGTTTTTGCGTTTCATTAAATTATTATAGAAAGTAGACAATTCGTTGAATCGTGCTCGACTCTTAATCCTTGTATGAAGCCAGTTTCTCCCTCTCTCTCTCCCGCGAGAAGCACGGAAGCTTTGACATTTCATTAAATTATTAGAGAAAGTAGACGATTTGTTAAACCGTGCTCGACTCTTAAAGGGATCCGGTAACTTTGTCTTAGATTCTTTAGAAATAATCCTTAAATTAGCTCATGCTGCAATGATAATTATAAACCTTTAGGTCAGTCAGGAACTCGATGACTTTTACAAGCCGATCGCCTGTCTGATTATCAAGATATTAATGATTGGAATTACAAATTTTGAAAACCGTTCGCCGAACGGTTTTCATAGCACTACAGTCTATTGGGGAAAACGAGTATGGTAAAACCGGTCACTCAAAGATTTTTACTTTTTTTAAAGCACTTCTTGATCATTTTGAAGCGCGATTTTTTTAGGGCTTTAGTATTACACCATATCACAGAAACTGATAACATGCAGGACCGTGTAACAGCTGCACTGCTAAAGCCAGGGTAATTATGCTGCATTATTGTAGAGCGCTTAGAGACTTCTGACAAAGTAAGTGTTAGGCGCTATATAAGCACTGTAATTATTATTATCTCAGATTTAATATTGTTAAACGATCCCTTTAATCCTTAAATTATTAGAGAAAGCAGACGATTCGTTGTACCGTTTTCGACTCTTAATAAGCCCTATTTATCTGAATTCAGTTTCCCCCTCCCGAGCAAAGCGCGAAAGCTTTGGCGTTTCATTAAATTATTATAAAAAGAAGACGATTTGTTGTACCGTTCTCGACTGTTAATCCTTGTCTGAAGTGAGTCCCCCCCCCCCCGGCCCCCCTCCCCCTTCCCGCGCGGAAGCCTTGACGTTTCCTTAAATTATTAGAGAAAGCAGACGATTGGGTGTACTGTTCTCGACTCTTATTTCTCGTCTAAATTCAGTTTCCCCTTCCTGTGCGAAACGCGAAAAGCTTAGACGTTTGATTTAATCATTATAGAAAGAAGACGATTATTGCATCGTTTTCGACTCTTTATACGCCCTATTTATCTGAATTCAGTTTTCCCCTCTCGTGCGAAGCGCGGAAGCCTTGATGTTTCCTTAAATTATTAGAGAAAGCAGACGATTGGGTGTACTATTTTCGATTCTTAATTCTCGTCTTAATTCAGTTTCCCCTTCCCGCGCGAAGCGCGAAAAGCTTAGACTTTTGATTTAATTATTATAGAAAGAAGACGATTCGTTGCACCGTTTTCGACTCTTATCAAGCCCTATTTATCTGAATTCAATTCAATTCATTCAATATAAAAAAACAAATTAATTAATTCATAGACCTACACAAACATCACATGCATTGCAGCCCTTAAATATCATCCCCTCGTCCCTTAAGTTTTAGGTGTGAACAAATGACAACCACCGAGTAGGACTTGGGCAATGCAACAGTTACCGTATAATTTATCACCCTCAATCAGATGCGTTCACAGTTTTCACACCTCTTAAAAATGTTTCTGGAATTCATATAATGATACATGTACTGTGTTTATTAATTAAATCTAATGAATTCTTTAATTTCCTCAGCCAAATCCTTTCTCAAATATAAAAATAAAAGGAATGTGTACAGGCTTACCTTGAAATAACTGAAGAGACAAACGGCCACTGTAAGTCTTGAACACGCCAGGTCTGGAACTTCAGTCTTCATGTACCCCTGGTATCCCCCCCCCCCCCCCCGAGCGCCGCCTCTGCCATAACCAAGGGTGTCGATTTGTATCCTCGGTTGGGGGATGATAGGTGCCAAAATATGTTTGGCAATGGATCAAAGCAACCAAGAGGTAGAAGCGTGTGGCAGGTTGCACCCCCTCCCTTCCAAGTTATTAACTTTTTCAAATCACCCTCGATAAAGATAACATTTCAGAGAATATGGGACCCATGTGGGTCCCACATGGGCTTGCTACCTGGGTTATTATCCTCTCAAGCATATAGGCAGGATTTTATTTTAGGGGAGGGGGCGGTAGTGAGCATATCCTAGGGGGTGGGTGCAGGGAGGGGGAATCCCCCCCCCCCTACCGCGCAAAGCGCGGAAGCTCTGACGTTTCATTAAATTATGAGAGAAAGAAGACGATTAGTTGTACAATTATCGACTCTTAATCCTTGTCTGAATTCAGTTCCTCCCCTCCTTCCCGCGCAAAGCGCGGAGGCTTTGACTTTTCATTAAATTATGAGAGAAAGAAGACGATTCGTTGTACCATTAACGACCCTTAATCCTTGTCTGAATTCAGTTCCTCCCCCCCCCCCTTTCATGCGCAAAGCGCGGAAGCTTTGACTTTTCATTAAATCATGAGAGAAAGAAGACGATTCGTTGTACCATTCTCGACTCTTAATCCTTGTCTGAAGTCAGTTCCTCCCCCCCCCCTTCCCGCGCGAAGCTTTGACGTTTCATTAAATTATGAGAGACAGAAGACGATTCGTTATACCTTTCTCGACTGTTAATCCTTGTCTAAATTCAGTTCCTTCCCCCCCCCCCTTCCCGCGCGAAGCGCGGAAGCTTTGATGTTTCATTAAATTATTAGAGAAAGAAGACGATTCGTTGTACCATTCTCGACTCTTAATCCTTTTTCTTCCTACGTCCTTTTCCTTTCTTCTTTCTCCCTCTTTTTTCTGTTTTTTTGGTCGGCGTTTTTTTTTGTTTTTGGGGGGGGGGCGACCGCCCCCACCACCCCCTGGCTACGCGCCTGTATCCTCTCTGTCTCTCATTAAATCTCTCTCTCTCCCACTCTCTTCTTCACGCTTCGCGCTTAAAGGGATCGTTTTACAATGTTAAATCTGAGATACACGGCCCTACGTGTTATCAGTGTCTGTGATATGGTGTAATATTGAAGCCCTAAAAAAATTGCGCTTCAAAATGATCAAGAAGTGCCTCAAAAAAGTAAAAATCTTTGAGTGACCAGTTTTACCATACTCGTTTTCCCCAATAGACTGTAGTGTTATGAAAACCGTCAGGCGAACGGTTTTCAAAATTTGTAATTTCAATCATAAATATGTTGATAATCAGACAGGCGATCGGCTTGTAAAAGTCACGGGGTTCCTGACTGACCTAAAGGTTTATAATTATCATTACATCATGAGCTAAATCCAGAATTTTATTTCAGAATCTGAGACAAAGTTACCGGATCCCTTTAACATTTACTTAGCTCTTTGTTTTTTAACGCTGCGGCTTTGCATTCGGCGCACTGCATTTCTATGATGCTGTTGATTGAATAAATTCATATAAATTCATCAATTCCTGATGAAGCCGTATGAGCGAGAATTTGATTTATTCTTGTCTCTAGGTCGTCTTATTTACTTCGTTTTCTATTTATATAGGAATGTATTATGAAAATGAGATAGCAAAATGTGTATATTGATGGTCATATTGCGAGTAATAACCATTAACTACTCTCTTCGGGCTCTCATCATTAATTTTTCTCTTTTTTTTATCGTGAATTATTGGGGGGGGGGGGGATGATTGTACAGGCCACCCCCACCTGAAATATTGGGGGAGGGGATATATTCCCCCCCCCCCCCATCCCCCGGGATCGACACCCATGGCCATAACCCTGGACCTTGTGGCAAGCCCTGTCCTAATCAAGTTATCCAATAAAGTATACTATGATGCACACGGGACTGTAATTAATGTAAATAATGCAATTTGGAGAAAATAAGCTACCGTTTGCCATATACGCTTGTGATATATATTTTTGTAATAAAACATGCCTCTACAATACTGATTAAATAATGCTTGATTAGTTGATCATGGTCATGACTTTTTTTTTTAGAATAAAAGGCCTTGTCTCTCTCGAGTGGCCTGGATCCACTCAAACGGTGGTGATTATGCGCAGTGGCGCAATGAGCAAAAAACTTTTTTTTTTTTTTTTTTTTTTTTTTGGGGGGGGGGGGGGGGGGGGGGCAGGAAAAGAACCCGCATCCCCACCACAAGCGTAAATTGGCGTATGGGGTCCATGCAGGGGTAAAGCCCCGGCTGGGGTCAAGGGGCGCGGAGCCCTCGGAAACTGGCAGGTCACTATTATTTCTTTCTTCCTTTCTACTTCCCTATAACATAGAGGGAGGCTCGAGCCCTGATATGTAGGCTTCTAAATAAGCATATATATTTTGCCTGACTGTAAATTAGGAAATTTGTCATTTTCCAAATAACGCATAAAAAAGTATAATTTACAGAAAAAGAGAGAAAAAAAAAATTGGTATCGAATTAGAAATAAAACACGTTTAAATTTTAACTGGAAGGGAGCACCACCCCCTCCCCTCCACCCCTCCCACACAATACGCTAAGCGCGGTATCTAAGCCCCAAGATCCATGGCTCGTGCCGGATAAATAACGAACTGTCCGAATTAGCCTAGGCAAAATGAGTTAACGGGTGGTATAAACAACAGTACACGTGAAAAGCCAGCACGTGTACCGAAGAAATCTGCGAAGGCTCCCATGCTGATTGGACATCACGTTGAACCGAATCGGCTCAAGTTACCCAATGTTGACTCTATACTCGACTCTCGTACTACAACTGCGTTATAATATATGTGTTAGTACATTTGTATCTACGATCACGGAAGGTGCATGTCGCCGTCATGTTGTACGTACGCAGCCGGATTTCTATACCGACCCTATGTTTTCCCGTCGACTGGGAATTGAATTGTTGATCTAAACGGAACCCTTATAGTCAAATTCTGACTTGAGACTGGGATAGTGTTACCTGCTTTGCCTTTAAACATGTTCAGTGAGATTAGGCATATTCAACGTTTATTCTACACCATCCAGGGTTAGGTTTGGAGTTGGAGTTAGAACCAAACACATCGCTAGCCGAAATCTTGGAATCTGCATGCGAAGCCAGTTTTGTGTTAAACTCCGAGCCCGAGTCTGTAACTGCGAGTGTGACTAGTGAGTATACTGTGAGTAGCCTCTATACACAGTGTAAAAGTGTAACCACATCTAGATCTACTACGTAACTTAAACTAAGTTACACGACAACTCAAAACAAGTTTATGTTAGATCTAGGTCTACTAGATCTTAATTATTTTGTGCATGTGTTCAGTATCACCTACATGTAGGCAATCATGTTTCTCGACCCAGTTAAATTTTTATATTAAAAGGATTTGTGTGATGTACAGACCTAGATCTACAGGTGTATGTGTGTGACGTCATGTGAGAATACATGTTAAGACTATTGTAATTTTGTGTTAATAATGTAGGGTCTTGTGTGCAAAATTTGTCCTGGACAACATTACATCATTATGTATAAATGATGTAGATCTAGACCTATGTTGGACACTGATCTGAGATGAGTGATTGACATCCGAGCCGGTTAATAATAGTTACTTTATTTCTTGTCTTATTTTGTGTTCCTTTTTGATGTGTTTTTTATGTTACATAAATTGTATACTGGTATCTTGTTTTCTTAAAGGGTTGGCCTCTTACAAGGTTTGTTTCCTTTTTGGCCACTGCCTTCCTCACTTTTTACAATTCATCTTACATGTATGTACTGTCATACATTTGTCTGTTTATGTTTGTATTTTTTATCTGTTGATCTCTTGAGGAGAAATAAATGAAACTGAAAACTGAAACTGAAGTAACTTGTAAATGGCAGTGCAAAAAATGAAATGTTATCAAAATGGAGTTTGGCTTTGTAATTGGACCCATTGAAGGAGAAGTAGTTTTGAGTGGTTGTTAGTTTCTGGAGTGAAGATTGAGTGGGGTTGTACATTTGTTGAATTAAAGGCAGTCTATATTCTTTCTTAAAGGTAATACAAAGATTTGGTATGGGGTTATTAATTTGGTTCAAATGAACATATTAGAAGCATAATATGTGATCCTACAATATTCAGTGATCGTTGTCACGGTTGAAATCGAGTCTAGAGTTATGAAATTGTAAATAATAAGCTCTTAATGTTGTATACATTTGTAGCTCCCTCTCAAGGTCAAGATATTAATTGAGCTATAAAACAATGTTTCTTGACTAAAATCTACCAATTAGCTATTCCCGTTTGAAAATTATATATCACAACTACATGTACATATTCTGAGATTTTCATGGTCGCATCTACCATTGACTTTGTACAGCTGTACAGCAGGCGCAATTTTTGAAATTTATCAAAATTTACCAGGAGCACCGGTAAATTGTTATATTCAATTTTTCTTGGAATCAGAAGAGTTTTAGCAGCTAAATTTTCTAGTGCTTATAATACATCCACAGGGGCATCCAAATATATCAAAATTGTAAAGAATCACTATCGACCCAATTTTCAAAATTTCCCCAAACTTTGTATTACCTTTATTGTTTGTGTTTTTTTTTTTACTTGAATGAAAATAAAGTACATTATGCAAGTCTTTTACTATTTATTGTTAAAGAAGGTGAGCGAAGGTTTCAAAAGGCTTTTAACCTTAATAATTTAGTTTTCAAAAATTGTTACAGATTTGACTTATCTGCTTTTAAAAGTGGTGAAATTACTACCCGATTATTCCGCCCTTGATCGGCCCGCTTTTGTGACGTACGATTTGTGACGTAGGAGGTTTGGCACATGAGCGAGAGTGCGATCCTCAAGCTCTCACACAACTCTCGTCTGCATGCATTATACATGTACATATACAAACGACAGCTCCCCCGGCCCCGCTCAACTGGCGATCAATCTGTCATGACTCGGGATGTGTGGGGCTTTTTGGCAAATTTCACGAATAATAAAACAAAGATAATTAGATGTGAGATTATATTTGGAGAAAATCAATTACAAATATGCACCATTCATAAATAGAACTGCAGCTGCAAGACATCATACAAATGCAAAAGGACGCTCGCGATTCACTCATCATGGTCTCCGTATATAATCAACAGCAATCACTATCACGCCAAGGCATGATGACCGAACAAATTACACAGAACGGAAGGGTATTTGGACAAATCGAATTGCACGATTCACCCCTTGTATTATATTACATAAATTTGCTTAATATTAAATGTAATTACATGATTTATATAGAGATTGTTATTCCACTTTCTGGTCAGGATATGAAGCATGCAAAGTCCTGATAATGTATACGTATAGCTATGCATAATACCGCACGCGAGCTGTGCGAGAGGCGAGCTTGAGGCCTAGAATTGCGATCGTGCCCAACCAGGGACGTCATAATCGGCCTACTGCGCGAACAAAATGTTCAAGCCAGGAATTGAAGTTCTGAGAAGGTTCTTGGAAAAAGCTTCTTACCGCGTTTCATTTATATTTACAAGACTTTAGAGCAGAATGTGTGTCTTCATATTGGTCTACGCTATCCGGACATGTATAATTTGCCCATTTTTAGTGATTATGTGAAATTTCTTCGCCAAGCTACTTTAATTTATGTTCATTATCTTGTTATTGTTTGTTACAGGGCCCCGATTACAAGCAGATTTTTCGCTTCTAAGGGGTCCTAAACTCCTAACCATTATATTGTATATATTGTATATTTTTATTGTAAATTGTTTTATACTGGTTGAATAGAGAATTGAATTGAATACATGTAGTTGAAATATTTACATAATGAATTAATTGTACATGTATTGGTTACCCAGTATCTTGACCAGTATGCCTTTTTCTTCCAAAAGTGTGGTGCAGAAATACAATGTAGCTACCCTCCCTCACTGTGAAGTGTAAACCCATTGAAAGATATTTCATGCCAAATTTCGCAATAGAGCAATCGATTCGTTTCAAGTTAAGTCATATACATGTAAGATCTTGAAACATCACAGGGTGGTTTCCAAGGGTTTCAAACATGTACAATAACATACTAACATCTATACATGTTGGATTGAACGTTTTATCACGGGTTTGAAAATCAGCTACAATTTTCAAGTTTATTTATTTCCACTTTATCGAAGATAACAGAATTGAACATGGTAATAATTACTGTATTTAAATACAATATAGGAACATAATGTACATGGTAATAGTTATAACAAAAGATACAATCATAAGTATGATAAATACATTGCAAAAAGCTAAATAAAGTGGGGGATCTACTAGAAAGCTTAGTTTGTATAATGTAGGTCCAAGTTAATAGGTTTGTATATAAATTAGGGTATCTGAATAAACATGTACAGGTTACAGGTTTGAATGTCGATTGTTTTGGTTGTTAATTGACCTGTTGCTAGTTAATTAATAATCATTCTCAAGTCTCAACCAAAATTATTTATGAAATGTTAGTCATGAAATTTGTGTGAAGATGCTTCAAAGTCTGGCTCAGATTGCACCAGACCATAGTGCATCTAAGAACCTTGGAATCCTTAGGCAAGCAGTGGATCCCAGCCACAATACAAGGGACTTCCATGTTGGCACCCATCAGTTGATGCTCCGTCCATGGGCCAGTTTTATATATTTGACAGTTGACACTTTGTTAAGTTTGTTTATGAACCACCCTGGATATCATTTACAAATGGTGGCAGTAAAGGTAGAGAAGATGTTACATTGACTCAGTGCCAACAATGCATTTGTAATTTTGACCCCCTTTTTTCTTCTTCTTCTTCTCTCTTTCAGATCAGACACCTACAAACGATTAAAACTCAGGATGCAGTGGCTTATTATGGGAGGTGGCTTAAATGCCACGGCAACCAATCTTGGTTACCATGAGGAGACAAGCTATGTAATCACCGAGGAATGCAAGGGTAAGTGGAGGTTTTATTTTTTATTTTTTTTACATGTACATGTACATGTTATATGACTTAACCAAAGATAAATTTCTTAATTTGGAAGATGGTAGTAGTTGATGTGATTCAAATGATTTTATTTCTCATGCAAAACATAATACAATGAATAATTATATTACAAAAATATGCAATGAAACAACAAAAATAATAGAAAAAGCACAAGAAAAGAGGAACTAACTAGAAGCAGAGCTTGTTGAAGTGTTAGTTTGCTCATTTCTAAGAACATGTAGATGATTTTTATCTTAACAATTGAAACAGGGGAACATATTAGAGCGTCTGGCCCCACCCCCTGGGTGATGCGTAAGATTGCAAGGCTTGGAGAAAGGCGGTTGAGAAAATAAAAAAGGCCCATCACAAAATATAGGAAAATAGAGATTGATCAATGATGATAATGATGAATTTTCAATTGATTGAGTGAATCAGCATAACCAGTAAAATTTTGATGGTTTTACAGCAGAGCCTAACCCAAGTTACTAAATGTTTTCTTGACAGGTCTGAGTCGCCATCCTTTTGTTTTTCATCCCATTTTATGAGAAGGCAGAATTACTCTTTCACTTGGAGACTAAGAGAGACTAGAAAAAAAGAAAATAAGTTTTATTTATGTGCATGATTGTTTCTGTTTTTTCAGATGTATTGGATGTCATGGTGAACAACATCTTGCAAGAAAGTAAAGTGAAATGTCAGGCAAGGCGGAATGTGGCCAATAGTCGTCTCATTCAGATGGTGAGTATTATTTTCACAATTACAATTGCAACTTTTTGATCAAAATATTCATTTTGATTTTCTAGCAGGTTTCTGGACTTTCAGTGTCTAAAGTAATTGCAGCAGTTGAGAATGAGACAAGCACAAAATTACTTTGCATTTGTCAGAAATAAACATGTTTACATTTGAAGCCTTGTTCTTTTTGTTGTAGAGCTCTAGCTTATTTCCCAGTTTTCTCAGAATTTGTGTGATTTATTGAAGATATTTCAAAAAGAGAAGTTACATGTATGTAGCTACAGTGTGTCTACAAAATACTGAAAAGCTGGCCAAATAAATCCCATTGTGTTTATATGATGATGATGATGATGAACAGCATTTGTATGGCACCATATATCTGTTTTTAAAAAAACATTCAGGCCGAGCTCCTCCAATAAAATTAACAATTAAATGTCTGAAGGAAGATGTGAGTGTTTTGAGTAAAGCTTTGAAGTGGTGCAGGTTGTCAATTGTCAATTGTCTTCAAGTTAATTAAGTGCCTGCAAGCACTTAGTGTCTTTCTCATTCTTAATTGTAAAATGACGAGTGTGGCTAGTGCATGTACTGTGAATATTGGTGCGTTGCATCATCACCAGGGAGTTTACTGCCCCTCTTATATTCACGAAAGACTTGTGCATGCATACAGTACATGTACCTTGTATATAACCTAGTGTAAATAACATGCCCTGTAATGCCCTATAATATTGGTATTAATTGTTCTCTTGAAATGACAAAATTTCTCATTATTTTATTTTTCAGGATTTAATCCCTATTCTTTGCCATTCGACAGAGGATCCAGAAGTCTTTGATGCTATTGTAAGGTAAGAAAATTATTTTTAAAATTTTTTTAAAATTGTTTTGTTGTATTTCTCTCAATTTTTCACTCTTTACTTGCTAAATCGCCAGTACTCTCAGAATATCTCTGTTCTTTAAATTCTTTGTTCTTACTTATCTTTCTTTCAGATATTTATTTCCAATTATTTTTCTTCTTAGTTTTTATTTTTTATCTCCATTGCTTTTGCAATTTTCTACATTTGCCTTTAGTATCAGTGTTCTAATTTTGTTTAATAATAAATTGTAACAAATTAACTCTGTCATCCCTGCATAGCCAAAATAATGAACAACACAGCACATAGATATGAGTATATTAGGTCTACCTTCAACATAACCATGTGGCATGAAGATTTGTTTGAAAGTTTCAACATTTATTTCCAGTCATATAATAATAATAATAATGATAATGATCTTTTAAAGTCCACTCCAAATTTTGTTAAGTTAAACCGAAAATGGAAATTCTTTTTGCCCAATTGATCGTGAGCCCGTCACCCACTGAGCAGCGCCAGATCGACGTTGCTCTATCCCTTATTGTTGAACGCCAAACAAGGTAGCAGCAACTCCAGTCTTCTGGGATATTTTTTCCATGCTAGAATTCAAGATAAGCTCCAATTTACCATTTTGTTGCACTTGTCTACAGGTTATTGATGCACCTCTCCATGCCTCTAGAGGTTGTCATGCCAATCCTGAAGAAACTAACCAAAGAGGATTACGAGAAGAGAGATGAGCTTCAGAAGATGCTAGCCACCATCAAGAAGGAATTCACTCAGTCCACGGTGATAAGCTGTCTCGTCGGTCAGATGGCACTCATCATTGAAGAGGTAAGCATTTGGTTTTTTACGACACATGCTCCATATCTACACCTAACATGAGACCCAATTGCAACCTATCCCTGAACCTACAGTTTGATAAAATAAAGCCAGAGAAATTGTCCTCACTGTAAATTTTAGATCACTGGGCAGATCTAAGAAATGTGAGATAATATGTAAGCTCCATTTATATCACACACATAGTGTACATCCATCTATGGGGATGCTCGAGACACCTTCAAAGTAGTACTATTGCCCTGGCCTTACCCAAGCTCCCCAAAGGCACCTAAGGTGATTTTTGTTGTGGTGCTGAACACATTTTCTTCTGCTAACGGGCTGTAGATTGTGAATTGCATGCAGTCTGCAGTATAGTCTCAAAGTTAAGACCTTGTGTAATACATTATCATGACTAACAGGGTTTATGTTTCCTTTGCATTTTCCACAATCAGGCGGGAAGCTATGCTATCGATCAAACCAACGCGGACACGCTCAGCAACTGTCTGACGCTAATCAGGAATGTGCTGTATGTCAACTATGAGCGCTACAAGGTCGGAAGTCTCAAGAACGACACAATCATCGGGTAAGTCAAGGAATTAAAGCCACAATGTACTAGAAGCACTATTGCAAGATCTCCTCTAGCGCCATCTTATGTCAACTGTAACAGTATGATCCTGTGACCCGCTGCTTCCATATCTGAGCTGTTGGTGCTCGCATTCGGGTCCTATTTCTGCAAAGTGGACTTTTGGTATTGTGTTACGCACAGTCGGCAAGATGCGCTTTGTAATTAATAGTATGCTTGGGCAGTCAGTTCATCAGTTCAGTATTGCTTTAAGCAGTTTACATGCAAGGCCTTTTCTTTGTTCACAATCTGCAAGATAGGTTAGGATAGATGTGATCATGTGAAGTGAAACTTGACTCCTCACATTAAGGATGTTCTGTATAGTCAATTAAATCCTTTAAATGTTTTTAATGAGAATGATTAGAAAATTAGAAAAAAATGAAGTATGAGCATGTCTTAAAACTATAAAGATGAGAGCGATCAAATACATATCTAGTTTAAAATGAACAGATGTGTTTTAGTGTTGTTACATGTATACAATTCTTGAAAGAGCCTGTGGAACAATATTTATGTGTACCAACAAAAATACAAATCTTTGCATCCTTTGTTTCTAGTGTCATCTTATTGATTGTTTTTCCTTTCAGAAAACTTTTCAAAGCCGATTTCCAAGATGTCCTAAAAGAGATGTGTAGAAGACCTGAAGGGGTAAGTGTTTGTGCCTTTATTACACATTTCAATTTAACACAGTTAAACCTGCTTTTAATAGCAACCTGCTGTTTCCCCTGAACAGAACTTTACACAGAAACATGTATTGATGGAAACTGTAAATGAAGACAGTCTGCCTTAAAAGACCACTATTCTTGCATTCATTAAGTGGTCTTTATATGCATGTTTCTATAAGTGCCTGCTGTGCAGAAATTCTATTTCCAGCCTCATCCTATTTGTTGGAATGGATTAGAACTTGTAAGGCTTCAATCGTGTAATAAGCCAACTGAAGTAGCAAAACAACAAACTCTCCGAGTGATCACAAGTCGCTCGCTTCTTTAAACCTTATTAAATCACAGCATAACTGCAAACCACTCCTATTTATGACTGATTGCTCATTTTCTGCTGTCAAAGTAGCGTTATGAATGAACCCTATATTCCTCTGTATAATTACATGTGATATAGTATATTCCTAATTTTGGCTTGGAAGATTCCCGACTTTTGCAGGTATTTCATGGTCATGATTTATATTCCCTAATTACCATTTCAAATGTTTATTTTTTTTAATCTTTGTTTAGAGCAAGTGGCTTTCATCTTTACTTCAAGTACTCCACCTGATGTACAAGGACACAGTAAGTTTTAAATAGATAATACTTCTTTGTATAGAGAAAAATTAAAGTAATTAATGTAAGATTAGAAGACTGGATGTCAATTTAAAGATCAGTTGACTCATGGTCGTGTGGGTTGCGTAAGTACATGAACTGGAAGTTCTGAAGGTTTTTTGGAAAGTTTGATTCTGTAGTACATAAGAAAAATTGTGTCTATGCTATAAACAAAGTGATTCTTGCTGAATATCACTTACATGTATCTTAACTTCAGAGACAGAAGGATATTAACTCGGTGTGAGTTTATATGAGTCAATACTTTCCTGCTCCAGTACAGAAAATGCAGTGGAACTTTTACGTTAGGTACTCCAAATGAACCCTTCCTTATCTCTTGTGTCTTCATAAATAACTTTTTACGCAATGCACACTTTTGAATACATTTGCAAACCGTTCTTTTTTTTAAAAACAATATATTTTCAACATAAGCAGCATTTAACATACTTTTTGTTCTTTCATTGCAGAGCTCACTGAAAATGATGTCTTACTTGAATCGCAAGCATGAACAGAAGCTGAGAGAGGCAGAGGGTGCAAAGGATGAACAAACTACAAAAGAGGTCAGTTTCTTACGGTTTCCTTAAATACAATTCTATTGTAAAAACCTTGTAATACTTGTGCATCATCATCATCAACTTCAGGTGGCGCTGTGAAGCGCTGCTGTGGCCTTCACGAGAGCACGCCATGCAATTCTTTCACCTGCCATTTGTGTTGCACCTTTCATTCCTTGTCCAGATACTTTCTTGTGCAGTGTGCATAAATTTGCATTTTCCTTGGAAAATAGATAAAATCCATCCAATTAGGAGTTGATATTTAGAATAATGAGCCAACGATCTAATGTTAGGAAATGGGTGATATTGCATTCTTGTATAGCTCATATCACTTTATGAAGTAACGTCTCTATGTGCTTATAATGGACTTTGGATAGTTTTACCTCGGCTTGAGCTCCAGCAACTGTCTTTCTCAGTGCATTCAAGGAATATATCCTCCCACCTACCCACTTACTACACCTAGGTAGAGTGTGGCGAATGTACATAAATGTTTTGCCAAAGAACATTGGTGCCAGGGCGGGAATTGTAGCGAGAAACCTTTGATTTACAGTCTGGTTACTTATGCACTCGACCATGACACCTCAATGTGAGGAAAAATGGAAATAATGACGTTTCATAGTATTAATGAATTGCGTTTTTATCAAAACAGGAAACCAAAGTAGTGACAGACGCTGAGGGTCCAGCTTCACCGTCACTATCTACCCACAGCTTGGAGACGATACAAGAGCCCCTCTCACCGGGCCCTTCCTGCAAACCCAGAGACACCTCATCTTGTGAGAGGACGCTCTCATGTAGCAGCACACTCACCATAGATAGCTCCGGTGACAGCACTGTACAAGAGGTTAGTAACACTGCTATTGTTATCATTATAAAAAAAACTTTTTATGCAGTTCTTCAAATTACCCTGTAGTGATTAACTGTGTAATGATGTTCTCTAAAGGATAACAGTTTATTATGACACATGAGTGAACACATAAATATATTTATACTTGGGAAATTTGTAGGATCTTGGAGCTTGTAAAGTCATTGGATCGAGGTTGGAAGGGACCCTTAACACAAATATCAATTTAGTGATAAAAGAAAAAACAACGAAAAGCATAGAAGAAGTAATAAAACTACAAAATATAATATAGAATATACATGTAGTGCAATGCAAATTAAAAGCTAATTAATAGAAATAAAATTCGAGGAAATAGTGAGTAGCCAGATGCTCTCATGGTATAGTTGCCAATTTGAGTATTGTGATTATGCTTGTTTGATTACAGGGAGATTCAAGTCAGAGTTCTTGTTCGTCAAGTTCATCCATGTCATCAGATGATGACTCAGAGAAGGTCGGGAACAACTACCTGAAGAGGAAAAACATGTAAGTTCCACAATTAACATGTACAGTCAAACCTGCTGTAGCTGTCTACAAAGGCCACATTTTTTGTTTCCCTTGAAAATGGTTTCTCATTGAAACATGTACTAAAGGAACCTGTCTACAAGGACCACTTTTTATGTTTCCCCTGGGTGGTTGGTATAGACAGGTTTGACTGTACTTTCAAGGCTCTCTATGTCTATAGTTTGATGCCAAAATTGCCTTATGCTTAAAGGTAGGCTTTACTACTTTAGCCAGAAGGGATAAGACCACCCACTGAGCCAGCGAGGTCACTGTGACAGGTGGCTATCTCATTAACTCAGCTATCATTTAACATAAGAAAAAGAGGATCATGGGGGACCAACAGGCACCGATTGGGGAAGTTTTCTATATAGAGGGAGCAAGTAGCTACAAGTAGGACAGTGTGCCTTTAAAATTAACGTGTGATGTATATATTGTTGGTTTCTTGGTCCCATTCGGTGAATGAATTGCAAAAGAACAAAACTTTCTAATTAAAGGAGAGTGATGATGGGGTGTAGTCTTCATCTTTATTTTTTTTATCTTGGCTTCCTTCTCTCCCTCCTTTCTTTCATTTTCACTCTTTATTTCTTTCCTCCATTTGATTGGGGGGGGGGGGGAATGGCACATGCCTCCCTCCCTCTTGTAGCTATTTCATTGTATTTAGATTTGTAAGTTATCTTATACAAACACTGACTGCTTTGAAGGGCACGGTTACAACAAAGGCCAAGGCGAGCTTGAAACGGTACAGGGCAGTCTCAAGATCACTGAGGTGCAAGATACCTAAGCGTGACCCTAAAATATTCCTGTCAAAATATATTTGTTTGTAGCGAAACGTACCTGTCTAAGAGAAACGTGTGTGTCTCACAGCATATAGCCATTGTTAACTGTACGCTCAATGCGGTTTTACCAATCAGAGGCCTAGAATCTCCACATGCGGTATGAAATTACGATCATTGCTTTTTTCTGTTTTTAGGAAAAAGTTGGCTCAATTTGGTCTGGACTACATCAAGTATGGCATGGACAACATCCTGATACAATGCAAGGTATGAATGCAGTTTTGAAATCGCTTTATTTATTTAGACTATCAGACAAAGTTAACCCAATACCTTTGGCAAAATAGAGCATGGAGTTGTTGTCAGAAGAGCTTTGTCGAAGCACCATGGTTGATGATACTATCGTGTGCATATCACACTTTTGAAAATATGGGCATCTCCTTGATAAATGGAAATGACCTGCAATCTTGAATCAGTTTTGCACTTGGTACCAAATAATATAGAATTTTGATCCCATAGATAGTACTGCTCTAAAGGGTTGAAATATAACATGTTCATATCTTCTCTCCTCTTCTGTCTTGTTTCTTCCTCTCTCTCTCTCTCTCTCTCTCTCTCCCCCAACCCCCTCCCTCTCTTTCTCTCTCTGCCCTCCTTCCCCCTCTCCCCCCTCTCTCTCTCTCTCTCCCTCCATCCCCCTCTCTACCTCCTTCCACCTCTCTCCCTCCTCCCCCTCTCTCTCTCCTCCCCCCTCTCTCTCCACCTCTTGCTTATTTTACCCATCAACTTGCTGTCCCATAGGAGGACTTGAAGAACATGGTAACCAACCATTATTTCCTGTGGCAGATGAATTTCTTCATTCCATTTGCTACACACCCTGATGTATCCTACACAGATATCAAGTAAGTTCTTTCTAACACAAATAATGTAAAACATTCTGTAGAAATTGTTTGTGCGTATATGAAAGATCTACGCAGGCGGAAAGATGATTATCCTGAAAGATTAGGTGCGAGCCTCTTTTTGAATTTTTTAGACGCACTGATATTTCATGAACTATTGGTCAAATTTTAATGATAACAATCTTTCGCATTAGTTGTGTTAATCACACAGATTCAAAGTTGATAAGACTGGTCCTACGCTATGTACTGTTAAATAATATCCTGCCAAATTGATTTGTCGAGAGATTGACAAAACTAATAACAGTTAGTCATCCTTCAAAATCAACCACAATGTTAACTCTTTGTTAGGCTCTGAATGTGTTTCTGGTTAGGTATGAAAGAGTGGAAAATAATACTGATGGTTGCCAATTTGAGGATGAAAGCTGCCAATTTGAGGAGGAAAGCTGATTCATTTAGATCTTTAGCAAATGCCTAACAGTAACTGCCATGGGTTAACCAGTGTGTTCTTTATTTATTTCCATCTCTTTTGTTGTTTTCAGACTCACTCTATCAGCTCCTGTTTTCAGCCAACTTTTGTCTTCAACATTAATGACATGGGAAGCATACGTCCAGGCGAGCAATCAAAGGAACAACGATAGCAAATCAAACTCGGACTTCAAAATGTAAGTCCATGTGCTCCAGTTGTAGTCTCGCACTTGTTTATTTACATAATTGTTTTAAATTTAATCACTTGCTGATGTTGTTATTTGATTTAGATAGTTATTGGAAAGTCACATTTGTCCAATGTATACTACTGAAGATTTTGAGCATTGCGGCATAAGGAAACAGTTCAAATCAATTCACTGGTCTAAAGATCTAAAGTCCTTCACAGTATATTGCATAACCTTTGTTTGACTTTCCCCAACTATTAAATGTGTTAATAATTACTTTCTACTTTCCTTTGACTCTCAGCTTGAACATGCAGGCCTCCACTATGCGTCAAATGCTTCATGCCATCCAACAGTTCACCACCAATCCTCAGAACACAGACATCATTCATATGAAGACTATACTCGGTAAGCCCCCACCCCATACGTTTTATCGTTCATTCCCAGTGCATGCCTGTTCTTTTCCAGTAATTTACCCAATCCGAGAGGATATTTGACATTCAGTCAGCCCTGTTTAATAAGGTCTCATCAGGGCACTACTGGTGGAGAGATGTGGCTTTTACTTAAGATTCCATCCATTTATGTACAGGAGTACAAATTTCAGTAGGACTGCATGTGAGAGATTAGAAAACATGATTTTTACAGAGGGTAAGCCTTCACATGGTTGTCTTGAATTCAGGTTGGCAGGTTTCATGCACCCCTTTAAAACTGAATGCCTTTCCTGGTTTGATAAGCTCCTGTAGGACTCCATAATCACCAATTTACCTTCTGTTTTTTCTCCACCTCTCTGCAGCCACGATAGCATTGACCGACGCGGTGCGCAACTTCTACTACCTGTTAATCCGCAAGTTCCAGCCCAACCAACATACTTTGTCCTTCCTGCGAGAGCTCATCGTCGGGAATGATCTGGTCCTACGCATCATAGACCAGGTCCAGCACATTCACAGGCCCCAGTGGGGCAAACTGGACATGACCAAACATATCGGAAAGTAAGTTTTCCAGTGTCATGTTATTCTACATTGAGTGCAGTCTAGGTCTTTTGTAAATGTCACAAAACTAATGAACATTACCCTTGCCTACACGAAGGGTCCAATTGGGCTTGTCTAGATTCAGTTTATAGAGTACCAAAGTGCTATAGTCACATTCGCTCGTTATCCAGGTTACTGGTTCTTAACACCAGAGCCTGCACACAAGATTCACCGCAAAATCATTCAAGAAAGAGTCTGGAGCAAAATACTTTAATAATAATAACAATAATAATAACAATAATAATAATAATAAGAATGATAATAATAATGATAATGATAACAATAATGATAATAATAATGATAATGGTAATGATAATGATAATTATAATGATAATTTTTTTTTTATTAATAATTAATAATCAAAATAATTTGATAAGCCATCATTGTATCTCCCCCTCAGGTTTGCTACTAGACCCATCATGCGAGTCTACAACTACATGCTGTCCAAGTTCTCTCTCAACACACTGGAGGAGAACGAGGTTGTCATGACGATGATGCACCATGTCGTGGTAGACATCGCTAAGCCTGAGGTCCTCTATCAGATCCCCATCTTAAGTACCTTCGCTTCGCTGTGGGAGGCTGGTAGCGGCTATGTTACCAAGGTAACTATGACTTGCAAACTAATTGTAAACTTACATCAAGAGACAGCAGAGTCTCTTAAGAGATTTGTTGAAAGGTAAAATAGAATTTACTAGACGTAGAGGGAAGCCAAATTCCAACTTGCAGGAGAACATAACAACTCTTTGTGAAACAGGAACAGTGATTGATAGTTCATTGGGTAGAGTGAGATCATGAAGTGATTCTGTCAATGTTTGCCATTTTTTAGGGCCAATAAGATTAGAGAAGGAAAAAAAGAGAGGGGAGGGAAGGACAGAGGGAGAGACAGAGGAGGAAAAAATCACTACGTCCTTCCCCCTGATGCTTACTGCAACATTTCATCAAGTTCCCTGAAGGATATGTCATCCTTATATCCCCTGCATGCTCTACATGTACATTCTATGGATTAAGCATGACCAAGAACAGGCTTTCCATCATTTATGGTTTGAGTTGGACAATAGTGTAGCTACATGTAAGAGATGACAGGGTTAAATTAAGAGATTGCAGGCTGAAGCCATAGGATGTAGGGCTTTGTCGCCTGAAGGGAAATGAGCCGATTTACATGGGTAATGAGTGCCTGAGTGGGTCGTTTCCCAAGACAGGGAGTGATTGATAGCATCTCTTAGGACACCATTACAAGCTTTACTTGTAGGATTAGTCGATGTGGCATGTAGACTTTGAGTACAGATGTTTTATGAGGTATGGATGATGAAATATATAAACTGTGTAGAATTTAGACTTTTGAGTACAGATGTTTTTATGGAGTATGGATGATAAAATAGGTAGACTTAAGGTGATAATTTTTTCCTCATCATACAAAGTAAATTGCATTGTGGATTAAATTGATGATGAAACTCTTGGATTTTAACAATGTTTCTGATACATAACCCAAGAAATATTATTGAATTATGTTTGATGTGCTTACGTGAATATTTATGTGTGGTATCCACAGCAATCCCATGAACTGATTGACTACATCATACATGAGTTCTGTGTACTGGGCAGTGCTAACAAGGAGAAGTGTCTGGAGACGGTTACCATGCCTGATAGAGTACGTCCTGCCAAGAGGTATGGCAACATTTGTCTCTCACTAATTTGTTTTTATTTTTTAAATCTCGTTCTTTCTTTCATAATAGCAAATTATCTAGAATTGTTCATGTAATAAGCTTTATCCTAATCTTAAAGACGTCATTGTCATCAGAACAATTCAAAGAGATACATCACTGTTCTTGCTTTGCAATCTTTTACTGCTTGAATTATCAAGTGTCTTGTAAGTCCAATGCTGACCAATTGATGACACTTTCAGTGCATCATACCAATTGGAGTAAAAGCTCTGTATATTAGTATTATCTGTAGTGTGATAATGAATATTATTATCTGCTATATATATATATGTAACTTATATATATTACTTCTATTATCTTTTATTAACAGGAAGCACGTCACTGATGTAATAAGCAAAAACAAGGTAAGAAACTGCTTTGTTTTTCATAATTTTTAAGGGTAGTTGAAGAGAAACTTTAGCATTTTGACATTAAAAGAAGTTCAATTGCTATATACCTAAACAGCAACGTGCTCACAGTTTCAAAATACAAATTAAACATCATACTCAGTCCTCATCCTCATTTTATAAGGAAATTGAACCTTATTTATATTCTATGATTACAGAGAATGTCTTAAATCATCAGATTGGGTATGTGACGTATGTCATTAATTAGATAATAGGGTAATGGTTATTGGTCAAAAACCTAAGTTGACAATACATAGTCATTTAAATAGGTTTTATTTGTAGATTATACACTGATGGATTGGTTGTGGTTTGGTTGAGTAAAAATATAGGCCTTCTTTTTACTTGGGTTGGAAATCTGTGTGGGCAGTATCTAGAACGTTGAGGCATTGTTTTTAGGTCTGCTAATGGTTCCAGACACAGGAATTCTTGTCTTTCCCCTGGGGATAAGTCCTCCTTCAATAATAATAATAATATTGGATATTTATATATATTATATTACCCCGGCTCTGCTAGGCTACCGATTTCGGTGCTCACAGCATTCAAGGAATTCCTTCCTACCGGTAGTGTGTAATGCAATGTCATTTGATGTGGCAGTCTGAGTCATGATATTGATAATAATATTTATCAATTGATGATAACATCCAATATGTTTGCATATACCTATTTTTCTTCCAATAGATGATGAAGATGTCAAGCACTGCTAAAGGCCTGTATGTGCCGAGGGATGAGAGCGACGTTGAAGAAGAAGAACTCGAGACCTCAAGCGCATCCTCAAAATCAGCAAAACCAATCCAGGATCTCAGTGTTGAAGAATGCCTGGCAGCGCTTAGACTCAAAGGTAAAAAGAGCCATCAAATATCTCTCTCTCTATCCAGTGGTCTTTAGGATACTATTGAAGTTTTTTGTTTAAATGTATAAAATATTGAATGTAGATGATGGACACCTATCACAAACAGAAAAAAACTAATGCAAGTATCTCAAGCAAAACAATCATCCGCATATGTATTATTCCTCTTTGTATATGATAGATTCAATATTCTGGCCATTAAAAACGTAGACAGATGTTCGAAAAGAAATGTATATATATATATATATATATATATATATGTATATGGAATATGACATCACAATTTCATGATGTGCAGACTAGAAAAACGATTTGTTATAAATTCTTCAAAATATTGCTTTATATTTTGGCAGACTTGAGCTATAATTTATCCTTGACTTATGTGTTATATTAACTATTCTACAATATTTCTCTTATCATTTTCAGGATTCGGAGACGAGATTGCTGAACTGCAAAATGTACTCCTCGAAATCTGTTACTTCAAACTGAGTAAGTATTAGCAAAAATATTAACCACTAAATTGATTGAATATGTACACCATTATGATACAAATTCTCTTGCCCAGTTGCCAGGGCTACAGGGCAACTTTTCTTATCAACTGTTTTGGACCACAAGGGTGTTAACTCATACTTGAAAGGAAATCCAAAGCACTAATACTGTATAATTATTACCCCAGTCACTGGATTCAAATACTATTCAGCACATTACAATGCACACTCTCCACTCCCTGGGGAGCATTCCAGCTAGTCGCTTTTATACAGGCGCGCACGTGCTGATCCAATCATGTTGACTTCCACATCCTATTGGGTGCCCATTTAGCACCTGGGTGAAGAAGAGCAATGTTGATGAAATGCCTTGCTCAAGGACATAATGTTGTTGTTTAGTGAAGTTAAAGTGCTTGGCTTTAAAGATAAAGTTGAGTTCTGGTCATGCAATTGCATTGTGAAAGAAACAGTGTGGAATCGATCAGAAAAGGTTGATCATCTGGCATATAAGTGTGTACTGCAAGGTTCTGGAATCATCAAAATGATCAGAAATTTGGCCCAGTCTTGGTAAAGTTACAAGCACTGTACATAAAAATATGTATATGGGACTACACAAAATGTGGCATAAAAATCTGTCCCGATTTTTACGCTGTTACATGCCATATTAGAATATTAAGGCATTTGAAGAGCCATGCTTTTCAGGGAACATTGTTTATCTGATGTTTTCCACACTTGCATAATAATAATGATAACGCTCACAATTAATTTTTTACCTCGTCCCAGAACTCGACCTTCTCTTCAAGGAATAAGTTTCAACAGGGTTACACTGTATTACGATATTTCTGTGTTTTGTATTTTCCTCAGATTGCCCGAAGGTTCATGTAGGAGAGCCACACATATGGCACTGTGTCTGTAAGTATTCAAATCATCTGCCAGCACCCACTCCTGCATGCATACATTGTAATTAACTCTTTTTAAAGAGTTATATATTTTTTTACTAAGTGCAGATAAGGCCATTTTACATAGTAAGTTTCTCGTAAAAGACAATGTATATGGCCACTCTATACATTTGTCAGTTGTCCTTATAAAACCACTAATTTTCATCAGATAACACTGGAAACATATTAAAGTGTTAAAAAACATTTTAGCATTGCATTTGTTGAAAGTTAGCTTTTGAAAACTGGACTAGAAGGCTAAGCTCTGAAAAAAACTGAAATATAAGCTTTGTAATTGCTCGTATTTTCAGGGATGCCAGTTTTTAGGCAATAGCCTGAATTCAAACCCTGGCAAGTTATTTTCAGACCATAGTTTAGGCTTTTTTGTATGCAAAATAGCTCATTCTAGGTGATTTTCAGGCCCTCTGATCAATTCAAACTGGTATCCCTGTATCTTGTTATTATGTCAATAAATACTATCTTATCTTATTATTGTTTCATCCCTAAACAGCCGATGGGAAGTCAGTACCGATCATCCCCTTCACAGAGAGCTCTGAGAATGCCCACGCGGACACTCACTTCAAGGCTCTGCTTCATAGACTTGGTCTTCATACGGCCCAGGATACCTGCCGTCTCTACCCCTCCGTCCCAGCCTTCTGGCCCAGCGACATGTGCTATAAGACCGCCAGCATGCTTGGAGATATCCTAGAAGGTAAATTTTATTTTTATTTATTTATTGAAATATTTTTATTCAGGGTAACAAGAATCAGATATATTACATTGTATATACAAAATATGTTTTACATCTTGGTCCTGAACAGAATAAAAATGTAGTACACAGAAATATAAATAATGAATATCACCAAAGCTCACAAGCAAAGGTAAGAACAGTATAAAGAAAGGGCCATCCAGTCAAACCTGTCTGTTAAGGCCACACAAGGGAAACAGACAAAGAGGCCACTGTAGACAAGTGGCCTTTCTACACAGGTCCTAAAACATGTTTTTTTTCTCAAGTGAGATAAAATACATGGCCACTAAAAACAGGTGGCCTTTCAGACAGGTCCTAAAACACACAGTTTTTTTCTCAAGGGAGATAAAATAGATTGCCACTATAAACAGGTTGCATTTCAAGACAGGTCCTACAACACACAGTTCTTTCTCGTAAAAGACAAAATATATGGCCACTCTATACAGTTGTCCTTTCTAGAGAGGTGGCCACTAAGACAGGTTTGATTGTAATTACTATTTGATATTTCGGAATCTAATCCAAATGGTTTTGATTGAGCACTTTTTCCTTGCTATTAGAAAGTGCTGCATACAATTGCTCAACATGCTTGGGCTACTTAAACAATAATATATCACTTTTCAAAAAGACTAGTTTGGAATGCTATGACGAAATTCTCTTTTTCACCCATTTTCATAATAATTTTTAATGTACTAAGAACCAAAAGTATTAAAGTGTTTGTATTGCAATGTCTACCTTTGATAATTCAATCAATCTTGAATTCCTTGAAGTGTTTTGAATCGTGTATGTAAGAAAAGTACAGCTCTGATTATTTTGTGATAATTTTTTTTTTTTTTTTAAATCAGGCAATCTGAAGTTTGAGTTGGACCAGATCGAGAAGGTCCCTGTCGAGTGTGAGGAGAAGTCTGGCATGACACAGGAAGGCGTCATGGTCAACCTGGAAGATCTGGACTTGGGTAAAGAAGCCATGGAAAAACCAACGTAAGTATTACCTTAAAGAGATCCCTTTGTGTGCAGTTCCCAGATCCTTGTTTCCAGTGGGGTTTTATTCAGACCAAGAATAGCCAGATCAGATTTCTTCAAACTGAAACTTTGTTTTCATAGATATTAAAATGAAGTGGTAACATGATTTTAATTTATTTTGTGATCATTATTTGTAAACCCAGTTTTTCAGTAGGGGTGAGGTTGGTATCTTTCAGGAGGTTAAGTTGGTGGAAGTATTCATAAATGCAACAAGGGGTTGGGTCAGGACTTTATGAGAGACGCTCTTTGACTTTTGATAATTCTAACAAGGTGGCCCTTACCTATGCATGTGGTTTGGTTATTAAATCGCTTTTGATTCAGAGCTCTCAATATCATGCCAGATCCATGAGTAGGGAGGGAACAAATCTGCATGCCCACACTGCACGATTTTGTGTTTCATGATTATATTATGTTTGATGCTAGGAATTTTAAACAGGAAAATAAAATAAAAAATCCTAAACTTGGCAACACATTGGGAGATACAAAAACATTTTTGTTTCAAAAAAAAATTGCCATTTTTTCAACTTTTCAATTTTTTTGACAACATTCTTGCCCATGTATACTGTCTTTAAAAACAGTACATTGTATTTAAACAATGTAGAAATAAAAGAATAATATTTTTGTTAATAACTTGGAGTAACAACATGTGATCAGAACAATTGTGCCTGAAATAAAATCCAGTATTGAAAGGTTTTGAATATGTTCTTTCAATTGTTATATTTACAGGGTGAACCGACCATACTTCCAAGTACCGCTACAGATGTGGTGCAACGTGATTAAGCGAGCCAATAAGGTCTAAGGATCTGGACTCCTCTTGCCATGGAAGAACTAAGAATGGATTCCCAGGCTATGGTCTCCACCAAACTACTCTGACCAGTAGTTTAAGCCTGAACTGATCATGTGCTTCTCTACCACCAGTCCCTCGGATAGGATTCTAAGCCATAGGGCCCCAAATTGGTGTGGATGCCTGGTTGCAAGCAGAAAAATTCAGCCTTGCTGCATCATATTCTTCTACAGCCTGTCCCTCAGATTAGATCTTCTGCCATAGTGCCCAAGATCGGTGTAGAATGGTTGATTGCAACCGGTATTACTTGACTAAAGAGGCAAGTTTTGTTGAACTGCTAGTTTTATGGATAGGATTTCAAGCTATGTGCCTTTTGTGGCTGTACTTGATTTATAGAACATCTCAGGTAAAACAGTTCACAAACATGCCAACCAACTATTGTTTAACCATGAAGAGTTTAGAACATTGAAGAGGATGGATGTTTGAGAGACGTCGGGGCACGCTTGACTGCATTGTGCTCAGTTGCGCCCATCACAGAACATGACGGCTAATGTTTCGAAGCACACTTGACCTGAAGTTGATGCTCAACACTGTAGGAGCCAAATTATCATCCGCTGATTTGGCATGCCAATTTAAGTGTTTGTCGTCCCATCAGTTGCCATTATGATAGACTGCTTTGACGTTCCGACGTTTGCTCTAGCGACAGTTGCTTCATGCTTGATTTCATCAAAGATATACTGGTAGGATCGGGGTTGGTATTGCAAGTGGGTTTTGGGTTAGGGTTGGGGCTAGATGTAGTATTAAAGGCATCGTTGAACAAAGTTAAATCAGAGATGCATGGCCCTACATGTTATCAGTGTCTTTGATATGGTGTAATAGTGAAGCCTTCAACAAATTGCACTTCAAAATGATCATGAAGTGCCTCAAAAAAGTAAAATTCTTTGAGTGACCGGTGTTACCATACTCATTTTCCCCAATAGACTGTCGTGTTATGAAGACCGTTAGGAAAACGCAAAATTTTATTTCGATTTCCAATCATAAATATCTTGATAATCAGACAGGCGATCGGCTTGTAAAAGTCATGGGGTTCCTGACTGATCTAAAGGTTTATAATTATCATTGCAGCATGAGCTCAATCCAGGATTTTGTTTCAGAATCTCAGACAAAGTTACCAGATCTCTTTAAAGCAAGGAATTTTGTCAATGTAGGATATTATTGGCAGACCAATTGAGGCAGGTGTATGCTTCGTACAACCACTAAGTCATGTGAGATGTTAAAGATTAAATGTGCAATGTTTCTTTTATACAAAGTCATATATATCTGTATATATTCACCCATAGATATTTTGTAAATTCATTTAGTGGTATAAATTATCATGCTACATTAAATTATATTGTATTGTTGACGCAAGTATGTTCTTTGTCATTTTTAAATTTTGTGATTGTAATTGATTTGTATTGATTTTCAATTTTCCATTCTATTATACATTAAACTTATGTGAACTCAAACTCCACTTCATTTTTCCTTTCTTTTGGTCATAAGCTTTTTTTTAAAACTAATATAACATATTATGAAAGAAAATTACACAATTCAACGGGGTAAAAAAAGCTAGCCAATTTGTACATGGAAATAGTGATTTCATATTGTACACCATGTTACCAATTAGAGACTTTTGACAATGATTACTTTTGATCAAAATCGCTATTATTCGAGAACGACACCAAAAAATGCATTACCGGTACTCAAAATTTGCTGAGTTTTTTTCTCATGATTAATGTCAGATTGCCAGCATTGTGGATCAAATGATGATGTAGAAGCGTCACTAAAATGAGACACTGTAAAAGCTATGGGTTAATTGGCTTTCTTCCTAATCTGTGGCCATTTCACCAAAGTTTCATTAAATGCGCAAGCTAAACTGTACATCTATGCACAAAAATGATATGTATATGTACATGTTGATACTATTTTGTGTGTTTTTTAAGTACTGGTGCAATGTCACTCTTCATATATTTATCAAGGCAAAATCCTAAAACAATGTATGTGTGTACAGACTATATTAATGCATGTCTGTCGCAATGGGGTGGTACATGTAGATTGTAGTCCCACTTGTATCTTTCTATGCATGGTTTTTGATATTTTTCTAATGAACTAGTATCGGGTTATTACACAAATTTCACTCTGTCTCTTTTTCAATGGATAACCTTGTTTCAATTTTGGGTAACTGCAATTCAGTGGCTGTACTTTAAAAATCATTTCTCATGATTCTTGATGTCAATATTGTATCATGTGATTCAATGGAGACATTTCTTTGTAATTTCGGTGATGAGCCATTAAAAAAAAAATTGGAATACTAACTGCAAGAGGATGCTACATTCGTCATATTACTGATACAATTTGATACGTATACTGTGATAAGTGGAATATTTTGATGTATTAAATATTGTTAAACACAATGACACAAATCATATCAATGTCCATTTATCAGTGTGTAGCATGAGTGCTGTGTTGCTTAAAACTGAGAAAAAGAGATGATGCCAGAGAAAGTAACTGTTGAAAATGCAGTTTATTAGGTGCATAATACTAGCAAAAGTTGACAGTATTCTGCTATCAATGATGTGTCTATTTACTTCTTACAACAATGAGAGCGAGAAGGTTGTTAACCTCAGTTAACTCTGCAGAATTCAAACAAGTCAAATTATATTTTGGACCAAACATGTATTTACACTTCCTTCCGGTATGTTGAATTTTGCGTAAGTTATGTAATAACACTTTTACACGGCATAAACACCCTTCCCGCACTCGGGAGATAAATAATAATAATAATAAAAACGTTACTTATAAAGCGCTTACCACCGAAGTCTCTAAGCGCTATATAGCATGTACAGGAATGTTACAGTGTCAGATAGAGCAGGGGCTTCTTCATCACCTGTCGTACACTGACGTATGTATCTTAAAAAAACAAATCGTTTTTGACAGCATCCAACAAACTGTCATAGTGGGTCGAATTATAGTTAACTAAATTATGCATACCCCTACTTGTTAATTTGTGTGTGTTTTTAACTCAAGAATGAAAGGTGGACTGGTTAAAGTAGGGCATTTGTTGAATACTTTTAGATGTAAGCATTGATATGTCACATTCTCAAGAAACGTGAATCAGGACAAATCAATTTTTCACATACCGGTACTCAAAAATGTCAAAAGTTGGTAAGGGTATGAATAATTTTGTTGTTAATTACATTTAGTCTACATATTTATGGAACACCAAGTGTTAATCAAATCATTCCATACGAAATATGACTCTCTGACAAAATGAACTAACAAAAATCATGTGACCACAAAAATAAACTTGTTTGAATTTTGTGGCTTTAATTTATTTTTGTATAATCATTAATCATTTTTATCACAAAATTACAATAAAAAGAAGTTGCACAGAAAAGGATGGTGAACACATTGTAGTAGATCAATCCATGGATGAAAGTTATACTTTGATCGGGGGGGGGGGGGGGGGGGGGGGGGGTGTTTTACAGAGATCCTAAAATAAAATTTATTCAAAAGCGAAAATTCAACTATTTCAGACTTTGTATAAATTCCACACCAAGAACATGAATTCTCCTTGATAATAGAAAATATGAATGATTTGAATCAACATTTTATACCTTTTGAAATAACTCTAACAAAATATTTTCATAGATGCTAGCGGCTTACCATAATTGTTAAGTCCAACTTAGGATTTATGTGAAACACCCCCAGCTTCCAGGAATAACATACATTTGGGAGTATATAAAAAGTATCCATGAAGTATGTTACTCATCACCACCACAATCCAAATAATCTAAATACAGTACCCTGATAACAATCCAATAATCATTAAAAATAATAAGTGTTCAAGTAATTGTGAATAAAGTATGACAAATAAATACATGTATTCATATTAAATAATGAGTACCAGTGTTATACCATTTTACAACCCCTTCATAAGATACTGAATAACAATTGAAATAAAATAAGGGTAACAAAAATGTGTAAGAGATAAGGAGAGAAATAATTCTTCATTGCAATACCATATTTATGTCTTACTAGGTTCGGATCTAAACAAAAATCATCTAATACAGGGTATAATAATTTGTTTAATGTATTATGCACCATTTAAATAACAGACCAAATTAAACATGTTCAATTTGTTGTCTCACATAGTATATCATTTTGTTACAAAATCTTCGATATTGGAATCAGTATTTATTTTACATTTTTCACTCCACACACAATAAAAATACCACCATTCTGTACATGCACGCTTAATTCACTTGATATAGAGAATAAATTTGAAACGAGTCAATTTTTCATGTATGGCTTAACATTGCATAACATTTTGTGATACAGGTTTTGTGCTGAATCAAAAATGTTTATTTTTAAACTGCTGAATCACAATATCTTTTATAACCACTATGTAGCAAGTACACGCAGGAACATATACCGTACTTCATTTGTCTTAAGAAGCATGTTTACTGAAACTAGTTTAAAGTAAAGTAGAATGGGATTTGAGCTTGAGAGAGATATCAGCTTAATTGAGTACTTCTGGCTTGCTGTAAGATGGAGGGGTTTTATTTTTATTTAATTTTTCTTATTCTTGTCGATATTTTAAAAGATTTCACTGCATCAAAGTTTGAAAGGGGTCGAGGGGAAGAATTCATGTACAGTCATCATTTCATATATTGCACATTTTAATTTAACTCTTCACACAAAACAAGCTCACTAGTCTTTTACTTGTACCCTTAACAATTTGAGATATCACAACAAACGTCAAGAAATACATGTAAACAGACCTCCACGTCAATACCCTTACACTTTCCAACAGATGTCCAACATTTTACAAATGAAATTATTTTCACATAAGGATTCCATTCGACAGTACAAGCTATCGGAAAAAAAATCTACACGTACATCCAGGGGGAAATTATTTGTACACTAGACTCATATGAACATGTGCGTATCATATTCAGTGATTTTAATGATAGATGATTGACAAACAGACATTTAATACTACTGAAAGATCAAATGACACACATGTACATTACAAACAAATTTTCTGCACACAAGAAGGCAGTCAATTCAAAGGAAAAGGATAACATGTACTCCGTGCGTACCACCCAAATAAATAATTTTCATAACCAATTCTTGCGTTTCACAATCCTTGTGCCCTCATTCGGTTCAGTTGCGACAGTCACTCTAGAGCGGTAATTTGGGGAGATGGGTCGACAACTTTCTTGACAATTCAGGTAGCTAGTTATTTATCGCACGCTGGTGAGACATCACCGGGAGCCTGCCCGGCTAGCGGCCATTCAGTCCCGGCACATCATCATTTCGCTTATCTATTGTGAAGCTGTAGAATGTTATCTCATACATCTGTGAAATTGTTGTCGACCCGCGGGTGCCTCTCATGGTACGAACGTTGGTGGCGCATGTATTGTGAAACACGAGAAGTCAATACCTTTCATTACTATCAAGAAATTAACGATCACTCAAACAGGTTTTACCCTTGATGGAAGGTGGTACTACATGTGGCTATACCGTATCTAAAATACAGGTATGAGCTTTAAATATTACATCTACAAAGATACATTGTAATTCAAATACATTCTCAGTGAACAGTAAAGGGTCTTGTTGAGTAGACTAGTTAACGCACTCGCATAGAATGGGGCTCACACAGAACTCAAGACCGACTTGGGTTCTATGCAAGCCCAATACATGGGGTTAAATGCCTTCCTCTCATTTCTTCATTCACTTTCAATGATTACTTATAGAATGCCAGGTAAGATTTGTGATGTTGGTTTTTATACATTCTAGCTACATACGCAAACTATTTTTTACAGTTGATGGGTACGCTTTAATGACAATAATTTTAAGAGAGAGAGAGAGAGAGAGAGAGAGAGAGAGAGAAGAGAGAAAGTGTGAGAGAAAAAAGATAGACATTGAAAGAGAGATCACGAGCATGAAAAATAGAACTGGACTCAAGAGCATAAAAACCACCATCATAACATGAAACATCAATAGGTACAATAATTTCAAAAATATTTCAAGAATAACAATTCTTATTGAAGAGGTAATGGTGAAAAGAAGATGATAAAATATATAATCCCAGTAGACCTGGTGGTTGGTTGTATATAGCAGGTTTATCCTCCGTTGGTGGACGCATCTGTTTCCGTCAAAACAGATGTTGATCCAGCCGAGGCTTGCTCGATAAAGCTTTCCGCCCCAGCCTTCATTATGTCATACACTGAATTGGAGGTTGGCCTGTCCTAAAAGCTACCCACTTCCATTCTGAAGAGTTCAAATTCAGTCTCTGATGTTTTTGTAGTACAGGAATCGCAAGTAAAAACACTTTTCTCTTCCAACGATTTTGTGAGAAGTGGGGAGCTTCGTGAAGGCATAAAACTGCAGGCAACTAAACATGTCAGGTTCAATATTGCATCATAGAGGACAATCATCTGTTTCTGCCCTATGGATAAAGACACAAAGAAAAAGGATAAGGTACACATACATCTTCAAACACAAGATTTAGACTAGAGAATTACGTTTTTCGACTGATACCATCAAACATACACAACACAAACAAATTCTTGTCAACTATTAAAGTAAACCCTAATATAAAAGAACAATTATAAATAATTCATTTCATTTTATTTTATTCAGCACAGAGACACTTGCTTCAGGTAATGGCTGTTCTTCTTCAAGTCCGTGTATGAATAAACAAAAACAAAACATATTAAAGAACAAAAATCATGCAAACAATTGTACATATATATATATGCATCTTCCTTTTGTGCCCCCCCCCCCCCCCCCCCATAAAAAAAGGTCCAAAAATGTACGTCACCGAGGGTAATGGCATTAGAAATATAAATCAACACTAAAATATCATTTAACATATGATTTGGCGAGGTCTGCATTCTGATAGGGATATCATCTAATTCAGTGATCGGGTATTCATTTCCTATTACCAGTATTTCAGCATATATTTCTCCTAATTATCGTCTGCTCAGGTTGATATTAAAGGGACTATGTCCCATTTGCAGGCCAAAAAATGAAAAAGTTAAATTCCAACTGCATTTGAAAGATAATACTAATTTAGAACTTCCCTAAAAAAGGTGGGGCTTGAAAATGTCTTCAAGTGGGAAAATAACGACTATTAGTTGTAAAATCGACTTTAGGGCTATAGAGCCCAAAAGTAATAGTCTTGATTTTCGGACAATTGTACCGAATGGTCATACGTTTTATGCTGCGCAAAGATTCAATCATTTTAATCTTGGCCATCACAAAAAGTGGGTTATTGATGTAGACAAATACTCATGTACCGTTTAGGGGAGCCTTCCAAAGTTGCGACTGTGCCCGGACGCGTCGGGGCGCGATGAATAGAACAGTCGCGTCCCAAGAGACGCATTGAGGCGCAAAGGGGCGCGAAGGGGCGCAATAGTCACCCTCACCTGATTCTTGCATATGAAAAGAAACCGTCTATTGTTAGTATAAACCCGCTCTATTCTTCTTGCGCCCTTTTGCGCCCCACCAGGCGATGGAAGATTATCTCTCCCGTCATTGTTCTCGCTCGTGATGCGCGGTACAGCTTAAACTTGATATACAGAAAGTATATCTCGGCCAAAGCCTGTCTTCCCCTCCTCCGGTTTTCGTTCTGATAAACTTTCCATTGTTTGTACAAAATTGATGTATTCTTCTCGCGTCGCGATCTATTCTTCTCGCGCCGTTTTGCGTCGTAACGGGCGGGGTATTACCTTTCCAATCATTGTGGCGAAGCTTTGCGATGTACATTACTACAGCACAGCATGAACTTCTCTGGTGGGATCGTCTTTGTTTTGGGGGGCAATCAACACACTCGTTCATCTTGATCAGAATACATTATGATTTATTTTTGTTGGGTTTAATACGCCTCCTTTTAATTTTTGTGACGACTGTATGAAATGTGAAATAAAGATGACTATGTACGATTAATGGTTGTTTAATTGCGAGCTTAATTGTCCCCAACAACAAAAAATAAAAGACGAATGATGTGAATGACTACATGTATGCGGTTATAGTCGGCAAATTGATTACTGTTTGGGTCGCTTGTGTATGTTTGTAATTTGAATGATTATCAACATATTTGTATAATTCCCACATCGCGATATGATTCTAGCATCGTATAATGGACAAAGGAATTATCTTTCTCTCTCGTCATTCATATTCACGCTACGCGTTGCACATCGCCACAGCCTGAGCTTGGAAGAATTTATATTTTGTCAGTCAAATCCTTTTTTTTTCTCCTCCCATGACTTGGTTCTAATAAATTGAAGGTTTGCTTATTAGGGATAAGAAGGATAACATCAAACAAACGATTTACTCAAGATGACGCTCTTTTCATTTCACCTCGCTGTTTGATAAAGTAGAGTTTTACGGAGCGAATACAAAAGAAAAGTTCGCTCTAAGGCCAAATAAAAAAATGTTTTATTAGTGTCCTGTTTTTTTCGAAAACTAGGAAGGAGGAGGCCCTCTCTTTTCTTTTTTTTTTCTTTCAAAATGGCCGCTCGGTACATTTTCCTGACAGTCGGGCTAGTTTTCAAGATGGCCGCCGACATCTTTTAACTTTTTAAAAAAAAATCAGTAATAGATACATTTTAGTATTGTTTTTCATGTTTATTTTTCAAAAATTATTTAAAAAAAAAATTAAATAAAAAAAATAAAATAAAAAAAATTTCCCCAAAAAATAAAAAATAGGAGGCGGCCCCAAAAAGAAGCAGCCGGGACGCTAAACATGAATATTTTGTTAAGTGGCCTCAGGGAAAAAAAAACATAAAATGCCGTGGCAGGATTTCACGCCCGAGATTTGCCTTCGAAAATTGCCCGTCCAAAAGGCGTTTTAAATCATAATAATTCCATAGCTCTTTTTAAAAGTGGAATAAATAGACAAAAGAGTCCGGGAACTATATCGAGATTATAAAACATGTTTGTCATGAAGATGTAAACAAAAAAGCGTAGCCTGATGGTGATAAAGTTGAGCAGCAATTGGAAATGCAATACAAAACATTAATCAGTTCATGATGATAATTAATCATTCGACACAAATACAAACATTGATTTCTGCTCTAACATTCGAATCATTTATTCGTAGATTTGTATAATTAAGTGGCGAAAGTGAAATTTTGAAATCTTAATGCACAGATACAAAAAACATACCAAACATGTTTTGATTGTTATTCTAAAAAAAAAAAAAAACCGGCAAATTTTAAAAGATCTTTTTAAAAGGAGGGAGGCGCTATAGCCCAGTGGTAGAGCAGAGCAGCTCGTAACCGGGAGCTCCCTGGTTAGAAACCAAGTCGATATGCTATTGTAAGGCATAACTCAACATTACATTTCGTTCGGAGAGGATCTTAAACCCGCCGGTCCCCTGTTTGCGTAATTCAGAGCATACACATGCTTCATATAGCAGTCAGGAAAAAAAAAGCGAACGGTACAGGAAGCTACCTTTTATGGATATGCCTAAATTGAAGGTTTGGCTTAACTAGGGAGAAGAAGGATAACATCAAACAATAGATCTACTCATGATGACGCTCTTTTCATTTCACCTCGCTGTAAGATAAAGTAGAGTTCTATGGAGTGAATACAAAAGAAAAGTTCGCTCTAAAGGTAAAAACATAGAATGCCGTGGCAGGATTTCACGCGGCCGAGCAAGACTATTGTTTGATCGCTATAATTGTCCGACTTGCTATAGATTCTTGTTTAGCTACACATTAAGGTTGCGTATTATGTGTGTGTGTGAGGGAGGGGGGCGGCGAAGTGAACGGCCGGACCAAAATGGCAGAGGTCAATCACGAGGGCTCCGCTCGCTAGTTATAAGGACCGCTATTCATTGGACAACTATTCATGAAGACCGCTATTCGTAATTTGAGAACATGGTCATTATGTATAAGGGTCATGAATTCGTAATACGACATTCCCCCTCCCCAAAACTAAATAAATAAATAGAAAACATGAATAGATTAATAAACTTAACTAATGATACAATAACAAATAATGCCCGGTGATTGGGAATAGCCGCCTATGAGCGGAACAATGGGCGCAACAACTATTAGCTGCTCAAAGAGCTGTCTTTTGTCATTGCGTTGCAAAAACAAAGTGCTTTTAAAAGTTACATGTACTATAATATCCGTATGCTATATAACACCCAATGTGAACATGACGTGTTCAGGCCTTATAACTATATACAGTGCACGTTAAAACAAAAGACTTTACTAGCGCTAGCTAACAAATATGAAACGTCAAAACGTCACGAACATTGAAGATAACAAATTGTTAAGACAAATGACACCACCAATAAAGTTTCTTCGCGAAGAAATATTCGATCGAATTTCATGTTTGGAACAGATAGGCGATTTCGAATTGTTCCATCTACCGAAACGTTTTGATGATGCAGGCTCCCGACAATACGACTATCATTTTTGTAATATCTTTAATTTGCAGATGTTTGTTTGTTTTGTATGACATATTTATAAACGCCCTATAATCTTATTTCAAGCAGAATCTGTCAATCTCTTTGATTATAAGTATCATTTTTAAATCACGGGTATTTAAATACAATAGCTGATTTTGCGAAGATTTAGAGAACCTACGTTTCTATTCTTTAAATCGATCTTGCATGAGAAAGAACAGAGTGATGATATAGATATATGACCTATTTTGATCGGATGACAGAACAAAATAAATGTAATATGAAACAAATAATGTGTAAAAACATACAGAAGGAATACACTTATACATATCGTTTTTGTTTTGTTCGAGAAGAAATTAATATAATACAAGTATTGAACACATTGATGAACAGAAATGAACAATCATAACAACGTCAACGCCTACACAACTCCGATGTTTGGGAGGAAAATAACAATCAAAACAACAATCTAAATCAATGTCTTGTACGTAAAATAATAATAAAACATATCAGTAGCCAAAGTGAAAATTTTAGAGTCAAATCTTTCAAGACGAGAGCGGACACACACGCGGGGATTACATGAATAACTAATACGTAGGAACGGGCGCGAAAGCTTTTCAAATTCACAAATTCACAAAAAGCGCTTCGCCTTTAAGCGCACCCCTCCCCCCCCCCCCCCCCCACCCCCGAATGAGTGTTATGTAGGGTACGCATATGCATTTTCCCTCCTTTTGAAAACAGTCCCCTAAGTCCGGTGTGTAAAGTCAATACGGGCCGGATTTGTGTGTACTAGACGAGCCGGACTTTGGTGCGTGAAAAGTACTCCTTTACCAGATAGTAACAATGAGTCTCCAAACAATAGCCAGATTTGATATTCATATTGTGAGCATGTGCTTAGTTATATCAGGATTCCCTGGTTATATTGAAGACGTGGGCTAATATCTGTTTGCCCAGTACTTCTCGCTGATTGTTTGACCAACATTAAATTGCTATTGTCCAGCTGACTTTTCTAAAGGCTTTTCTAC